AGTTCAGAGCAACAGAAAAGATGATTCTCATTGATCAAGTTCAGACCAATTACAAGGGAAGGGCTCCCAGTCCGGTTACAAGTCGAAGCAAAAAGAAGAAAAAAAAAAAATACAAAATCAGCTAAAAAGGTCATCTATTTCGGCATCCAGCTCGACATCAACCCGAAGTCCGGTTTCAGACGGAATAACAATCTGAGTTGGGAGCTCGGTCTTAGCCTGGAGCTCGGTTTCAGCTAGTTGCTTAATGGTCAGATCTTCTACCACAGGCTCTGCCCGAATTGATTGGTTAACTGGAACATTGTCAACCGGAGTATCAGTTGGCTCATTCTCTTCATCGTCGTCAGATGCTTCAAGGAATTGCTTCTGAAGATCGGCTGTATACTCCGCCAGTGAGGCCGGAATAAAATACTGAGGAACATTGTAGACGTCGGTGTCGGGACCACAACCGAGCTGCTCCACGGCACCCCTCTAGCCGCACTTGAAGAACAAGTCCTTCGCAGCTTCACACTGCTGGATGTATGCACCTTCGCTTTCCTTAAAGCCCTTCAGCTCGGCGTCTTCAGCTTTCTTCTTCAAAACTTTTATTTTGGCATCCTTAACACCCTCGAGTTTCGTCAGTTCCCGCAAATACTTGTCTTTCATCTCGGTTAGCGCTTTTTGTTTGTCGGTGTTAGCCGAGGTAACTAGTCCGGTTAGACGAGTTATCTCGGCCTCCAGCTCGGTCGTCCTTTGTTGGGATTGATTTAGTTCGGCAGTCCTGGCTTCGGCTTTTGCCATGGCTTGCCTAGTTATTTTCCTTAGCTCCAACACTCGCCTGTGAGTGATATTGTTTTTCTGAATGGCCTACAAAAGAATTGTTTCTTTTTTAGCCGAACTGAAACTTGGAAGAATTAGAAAGATTGAAAAAAGCTACTTACCAGAATCATTGATTTCGTTGAAGACCGGATGGACTTCAGTTCGGTGTTCAGTTGATTGTGGTGGTGCTCCATGTCTTTTGGAAGACACACACTCTTGGCCAGATTGAAGGCCAGCACGTGATCCTTCTCTGCGACCACCGAGTCGGTGTCCTGGATATCTCGGTTCTGGAAAGTGAGCTTGGGTGCCCACTTAGAAGAGCTAGATCGGTCGGATCGCTCCGGCTGAGGGCTCGGTGGAAGGCTTGGTGGCAGAAGAATGGTCTCATCTTCGTCCACAAGGCGCTGCTCGGTTTGACTAGTCTGGGCACGCTTGTTCGCCCGAGATAATGAAGGCTGTTGGGATGGTAGGGCCACCATGGCTTCTTGTGTTTGGTTTGGTGGTGGTACCTCGGCCCTGTTTGTCTCGGTCAAGAGGGCCCTGACTCTGTTTCTCTTGGCCATTTCTTCTTCAGCGGTCAGTGGGATTAGTCTAATTTGTGGCAAGGTTGGGTCCGGTTCGGGGGCCTCCTCTAGCAGAAAGTCGGTCACTCTCGCTTTTCGGTGGCCGCTCTATCTGTATGTCGGTTCAAAACTTAACAGCTTGGCCCAACTCCGTTCTGGATACCGTAGTGCGACGCGGAGAGTGCCTAGATTGGGGTAGCTGTAAAGTGATTGAAGATGGGCTGAATCTGCGAAAAAAGACACTGTTAGCTCGGCTACAAAATAGGAAACCGAAATAAAACAAAGCAGACAAGGAAACCGAAGTAATTATACCAGGTGTTCCTTTTTTCCAATTAATTCTTCGGCGGGCTTGGTGATCCTCAAAGTTCCCAGACACCCAGAAAAAATCGTCATCATTCAAGTCTTTATCCAGTGTGTTTTTTGTTATTTTCTCACGTCGACGGCGTATTCTAAGATAGTACACCCAGCTGTCTTCCTTCGAACCTATGGAATACTGGTGGAAGATTTCGGCTAGACCGAGGTTAATGCCTGCTTAGCGGTTTAGTTCAGCTATACCCATTATTATACGACAGGAGTTGGTGGAAAGCTGGGTTGGGCATAGTCTGGTTTGCCTAAGGAATTCACAAATTAAGGGTTGGACTGGAAATCTTAGCCCAGTTTCTATTATTGAAAGAAGGGTAAAGGGTACAAAGCCTTCTTTGCCCTATGGTACAACATCTTGTTCGGCTAAAGTGAGTTGGACGTCGTCGGGTATATTGTAATCTTTTCGGAATTCGGCTAGACCACCCGGAGTATTTACTAAAAATCTATACTTCCCCATTTATTTGATAAGTTATGAATAAATTAGATCGGTGGCAAAATTGTGCTCAGTAGCTCGGCTGAGCGCTCAGAGTGCTTGGGCAACCTAAGTCTGCAAAGTGGAAAACAAAGGTGTTAAGCACAGATCGTTGGACCGTGCTACAAAGAAAAAAAAGCAAAGAAAATAAAAGACCTACTTCGGCTATGTAGGATGTTACAGGATCTATCTCGGTTCCAACAAGGTGATTGATATCTCAGTTGAGTGGAGGTTTTGTTAGACCGGTTGAGCTCCTAGGGGCAGCTTTCTGAGTTCGGTCTAAAAACTTAGAAAGCTGGTTTAGCCCCGAAGCCGTAGTTCGTTCGGAATTGAGGTTTTCCCAGTACACTGATTACAGAATTAGTTCGATTTCTTATCTCGGCTATGATAAAACAAAAGGTTTGACTTATTGAAACTACTGGTACGAGTGTTAGTTCGGTTGTATAGTCTGGTCTCACTAGCATCAAACTACAAACAGTTTACTAGTTCGGTTATGTGTAATTTTGGATCAAAAGCAGTGTTCTACAGGTTATTTCATGAATACCTGAGGATTATACTAACATAGTGTTTTCAGAAGAAGCAAAGCAAATGGAAAAAAATGTGTTTTGCAAAAACACACAAAACAAAGTACGAAAACAAGGAAAGTAAGATAGAGGTGCAGTGTTTACCAGATGAAGAGGCAAGAACTGGAGATGAGAGCAGCAGCAATGGAGAACACGAGCTCAGAAGTTGAAGAGCAATGGAGGTTCAGAGAGAAAAGTTGAATAGTATGGTGAGTGATTTTGAAATGCAAAAGAGTTTGTGTTGGTGAAAGAGCTGGAGGCGGGAACTGTTCGAATATTGCGAAGTATGAGGGCGGTGTTACAAATGTGGAAGACCAATAGCAACCTGCCACATGTCGTTAGAATGGGAATCGATTCAGATGCTGTGATTGAAGAGACATTTTGACCGGACAAGCGGAGCCCGGTGTGTAATTAGCTCGGCTGGATAGGCTGGAAGGTTTTAGCTCGGCTGGATATGCTTAAGGGGGGCTTTTTTTAGCTCGGCTGGAAAAGCTAAAAGGTTTTAGCTCGGCTGGAGAGGCTAAAAGATAGTTTAGCTCGGCTGATAAACAAGTAATCCCTATCATGCTATGCAGATGGAATTAAGGGGCAATTGAGAGGGTAATTTATATGCGAATTGGGCCGAGCTGGGTTGTTATGGGCCTCGGTGTGAAGGGTGAGTAAAAAGGCCAAAAAGTTACTCCAGTCTTGAAGAGGTTTAAATTTAGTCCGGTCTCAAGGCTAGAAGTTAGACTGGTCCGAAGGACTCTTGGTGATTATCTCGGTTGAAGGAATAATTTCCAAAATTAGAATTGAGAGGGTAATTTATATGCGAATTGGGCCGAGCTGGGTTGTTATTTGTTATGGGCCTCGGTGTGAAGGGTGAGTAAAAAGGCCAAAAAGTTACTCCGGTCTTGAAGAGGCTTAAATTTAGTCCGGTCTTAAGGCTAGAAGTTAGACCAGTCCGAAGGACTCTTGGTGATTATCTCGGTTGAAGGATGCTTTGAACGTATACCGGTCATGGCGCAGCTAAACTAGATCGGTCTATACCTTGGTAAAAAGATAGTTCGGTTTTGGGCATACCCTGGTAAGTGGAAGAGGAACAAAGAACAGAGAACCAAACTAATTATAGTTCAGCTAAGTAGGGCCATGCTTATTTCGGTCGTATGGTAGTTCGGCCATGGTAAAACCATTTCACTTGGTTTAAGCAGTGAGAGGGGTGTTGAAGGATAAGCATTATCCTTCAGGAGTATGAATCCTAGGAGGACTCTGCATGGAGGAGTAGAAGTCCTACTAAGATTGTGCCACACGAAACCTATAAAAGCTCACAAACATCACCTTTGGAGAGGTAACACAACTTTGTTTTCTAAATATACAGAGCTTTTGTCTATTTGTCAAGCTTACTGACTTAGGCATCGGAGAGGTTTCCGACACACACCTGCCGGCTAGCTCACGTTTGTGTTTTCAGGTGATAAAGCGACGACGTACGGAGGAGCGCAGACTTGATCAACAGGATTATACGAGAAGGTTTATTTCTTTCCCGTACACTTTGGTTGAACTTTTATTTGGAGAAGGGTAAGTGTGAGAGCGGAGTGGAAGATACGAGATTGTGATTATCAACACAAGTTCCAGCAAAACAACAAACCCATATCATCAGAAGCATATTACCAACACCAAACAAAAAATTAAAACACTTACCTTCAACTCATATTTTTTATGCTACTTATTTTGCATTTAGGTAAGACAAAGTGTTTTTGGGAGTCAAGGGTTGTGAAGGGTTTGAAGCTAAGCTGCTGATGGGTCTTGTGGACATTTTCTAAGTTGCAATTGATTGGTTTTCAGGATGTTGCTTATTGAAGTGTAGTATCTGTACATATTATGTCAACAAATTGTGTGTGTGATGGGGATATTATCTCTTCTTTGATTAAAGAAGAGTGTTAACCAAGTTGAGAGCAATGGTTGAGAGGAGGACAAAAGGTTTGGAAACTGCCAAAACACTCAATGAGACCTATGTGGTCCTCTCTCCTCTCATGAGTACATCCCAAGTTAATTTTCCATCACATTTCTCTCTCTCTCTCTCTCTCTCTCTCATGTAAAAACTATGTTCATAAATATATTAATATAAAATGAAGCACACTTCATCTACATCACATTTAGAAGTTATAACAAAGCTGAAGTTTACAGAAACTTTTGTATGTAGAAAAAGATTGATATTTTTTTATGATTATTAAGAGAAGGAAATAAAAGCACCCCACAAGGACACAATAATTATATATATATATATAGACAATGAGTTGTGCTAATAAGTTGGGTAATGAAGGGCTGAGATGGGCCATCATTGTTGCAGCAAACAGAAAGTCAAGAGGGGGTTGTGGTCTCCTGAAGAAGATGAGAAGCTCATCACACACATCAGCAGCCATGGCCATGGCTGTTGGAGTTCTGTTCCTAAATTAGCAGGTATGAATTCTACTTGTTATTTCTTGTCTCATTTCAAGAGAGGGATAGAAGAAGCAAATCGAATACAGGTGCTGAGCTTGGCTGATCCCTAAGAGTCTGGTGTTATTTCACTGCACTATAGGACTTGCTCAAGATCTATTTTATACTTAGTATTGTCATTTCTAGAAATCAATGACTGGATTTTGGAACAAATATTGAGTTTAACGGTGACACAAGTCACGGACAATCAAAATATTAGAAATAAGATTAAGTAGACATCATTTGTCACCCACTAATCTAACTCTGCACTACTGCAATATAAGATTCATCATTGGTTGGTGATACTTTTAATATTGTCATGTAATAATACCATTATACCCAATATTTGTTCTAATTTTATTGTTGAGATATTGCAGGCTTGCAAAGGTGCGAAAAGAGTTGCAGACTAAGGTGGATAAATTACTTGAGGCCAGATCTCAAGAGGGGTTCTTTTACTGAACAAGAAGAGAGAATCATCATTGATGTTCATAGAATTCTAGGCAACAGATGGGCTCAGATAGCCAAACACCTCCCTGGTAGAACTGACAATGAAGTCAAGAACTTTTGGAACTCATGCATCAAGAAAAAGCTCATCTCACTTGGCTTAGATCCAAACACTCACAATCTTCTCTCTCCCCATCAAACTACCACCAATTTGTTTCGGTGCCGTTTCCAATGCTTGGCCCCGAATGGGCTGTTTTTCCCTTTTTGCCTCACAATTTGTTCTCTAATATTCTCATAACACGTTTATTTGCCTTGACTTTGAACATAAATATAATGCAATTTGGTTAACACACTTACCCATTACCATAAGTAGCTATGGTGGGAACTTTGATGGATTGAGCTTTTCCAAAACTTGCGCCAACATGCTCTGAAGTCCAAAAATCTGCATCTGCATCTCCTCACGTTGTCTTGCATTCTCTACCTCTTTTATTTGTTGCTCCTCTTTCTTTTTTTGCACCTCCTCTTCCTTTTTTTCTGCTCCTCATGGTCACTCTGCTGCTCCGCACACAGTATCTCCAACTCGAATGTAAGCCTTTTCAAGTGCTCCTCACGTGCTTGTGATGCCACATTCGACCCAACATCACAAGACGAGGGCTTTGGTCCGACCCCAAAACCTCTCAAGTATCCCTTCTTTTTTCCCAGCACCACTCTTGATATATCCTCTTGTGTCATCGACGTTCCAGACTCAATAGACTCATCCCGCACCATTGTCATTTGCTCCTGTAATTATGAAATATAACTATTGTTAATATAAATCAAACACAGTAGTTACTATAAGTGTCCAAATGATTGGAATAGTTACATGTAAATCACAGCATATAGGATCAATCCATTCTTTTGTCTTCTTGTTCTGATGAGTGTCCTTGTAGAAATTGCAAATATCTGGCAACAAGCCACCGTTTTCCTTCACCTGTGATATGCCAAACACCGATATCAACACTAACATATTAAATATGTGTGGATAAAGTTAATAAAATCAATGACACACATCTCACCGCAATGCTCATCGCCGCCGGAAAAGATCACGACCCACTACTGTGATTGTAGGGTAGCTTGCTCCTATTTAGTTTGCCGGCATCGTAGTGACGCTACATAATCCAGATTATAAGGGTTTGTTACATATATAGTTAAACAATGATAAAGAGTACTAAGTAATAACTAAATCATAACATACCTTGCTTTTAGGATCCAACCATACTTGGTCAATCAAATACTTCCAATCATCGGATTGTATTCCTTTGTATGGATGAGCATAGGGATCAATTCCCGCATCCACAAGCTTCTCCCATTTCTTCTTCATTCTGCACTTCTAATCTTTATATAACACATAACACTTCTTTTCCACAACTTTTTGGGATAGTGAATTCTCCTCGTAATTATCCCCAATCTCAAATTTATCCTACAATCAATACAAACACAATAAGTAACTTAACTTATGTAATGTGAAAGCTGCAAATATGTTAACAGTGCGAAAGCCTTAAAATGGTGTCATTATACTAGTTTAAATGAGGGAGCTATGACCAAGACTCCCTATAATCTTTCCATGATATATGATCCACCACTTTCATAGTTCAATCTGTGAAGAAAGAATTTGCTGACCAACTTATTCATGAATCATGTTGGTACATGAATTGGGGCAATGAAGACTAATTTGTATACAATGAAGACTAATTTGTATTAACTGCATCAATGATCGAAGGTCATCATACCCAGTGCAGAATAGGTACTTAGTTGGCAAGTCGTACCCCCAACTTTTTTGTGACCAGGCTAATTCACATGACTTGAACCCACAGCAACACAGCTGGGAGCAGACAGCACTTGCATCATGGAAGTACACTTGTTATTTTCATCACTCTTAGCCAAGACCAGGCTTATTACTTTTTCTTTTACATGGGCATAGCCCAAAAACAAACATCAAAATTACACTCCACTAATAACAGGAATGACTCAGATTCAAGAATTATATAAAGGAGATTTGGCCCTCCACAACTTGATTGAAAAAACAGTGACTCAGAAAGTTGCAACACAAATACAATATCATTACTAAAGAAGCCAAGTAACATTGACAATAGAACACAAGCTTTATCCTAACAATTTATGAATTTTGTGAACTACAAAACAAATTGCGATTGACTACAACTTCTTTTACTCCAATAATTGGATGATTTCCATTAGAAGCCAATTTAAGAAATTGACTACGGAAGCTTAACATCTACCATCCATACAGTCCACCTAAACTGGATTTAGCAGCAACCTGACCAAACATGAACCACTTAACTCATTTATTTATTAAATTGATAAATAAATATATGTTTGTATTTTTTATAATAAAATAATAAATATGTACATGTTTATGCATAGTTATTAAAAAAATTGAAAATTTTGATAAAATTTTATAAATATATTGTGACAACCCCACCACGTACAATGATTAGCACTTAATTAATCAAGGAGATTTGAATTTTTAATTAGTAATTATTCTAATTTAATCTAGGATTTATAAAAATTATGGAGATTAATTCATGTATGATTCTATTGAGAATTTATTTTGGAGTTAGAATTAAAAGCTTAAGTGGCTCAAGAAGGGATAATTGATGAGTGGATTCAGTTTAATTTCAAGTATCAAACCATGTAGGAGTTTAATTAAATATTTGATTCAGTTTAGTAAAATGGAGATCTGATTATTAGGTCCGAATTGGAGTTAATTAAGTTAATTAAATTATGAGGATTGAGAATTGTGATTATTATGAATTAAATTCATTTATGGGAGGTCCAATTTTAATATGTAATTTATTGACGAAAATTTGGTGTTTGATCAGAAATTGAAGGCCTAAATGATTTGAGAAACCAAAATTTAGGATGAAAATAAGTTTAATTTAATATTTGGAACCTTATAGGAGTTTGATTAAAAATCTGATTTGGATTGATAAATTTAAATATATTTAGTTAGATTCTAATGGAAGTCAATTAGACTAATTAAATTATGTGAGATTTGAGATTAGTTATAATTAACTAATTTTGTGTTAATTAAAATTTATTAAGATTAAGTGATGCTTAATTAAATTATTCCTAGACATAAATTGAATAATGGACTAAATTAGTATTGGGGGTTAAAGAAATCTGTGTATGTGTGTGTATGTGATGCGTTGGAAATCAAGAGAGAGTGCACGTGTGCTATGTTGAGGTCAAGAAGTGAGGTGTGTGTCTGAGTCAATGTATATCCTGTTGAAGCTCAAAAACAAAGAGGAAAAAGAGAGGAAGCAAGAGAATGGTAATTGGAGATCTCAAGAGTGTAGAGAGAGAAACCCACTTTTGTGCTAAGAATTGGAGATGAGGTAGAGAGCTAAAGAAAGAAAAGCTAAGAAAGTGAAGGATTGAAGAATAATTCACCAAATTGAAGATTAAAGGTAAGGATTTCAACCTTAATTTTGTAAAGCTCATGTATTACACTTGAAATTAATGATGAGATTGAGTTCAATTTTATGAAATTTGTTAAGAAATGTCAAGAAGATGATGAATAGTAAACTAAGTTCACATCTATGGTTGCATGTATCATGTTTCATCATTTTGAACTTGGTTTTGAAGATCTTGCATAACATTAGAGTTGCATGTTTTCAAAAACAAAATTATGGCTCACATGTTCAATTTCTTGTTTTGAAAATCAAGAAGAAATAGAATCTACTTGTATGTAATTTTACATATAATGAAAAGAAAAGAATTAAGGTCAAGAACTAAGAAATTAATTTGGAAAATTTATCAAGTGAGTTTAATTTGTGTTATTCCTCATGAATTTGGACTTCACATTTACAAGCATCAATGAATTTTAAGAGATTTGAAGAATTAATTTCATGTTTGGGTATAAGGAGAGCAAGTTTAGGGAAATTAAGAATTCATGAACATTTTGGAACTTAATATTGAATTAAAGGAATTTTGGATGTAATTGGTTTGAATTTTGATCCTAATTTCACACATGCAAATATTTTTCTAAGAGTTTTATAAGTTTAATTTCATGTTTTAGATAATCCTCCATGCGTCATGAATTAAGAAAGTTATGGAATTAGTCTCATGGATTTTGTAAGAAATAAGGTTTTAAGTAAGAAATTAAGTAGACTCATAGTTATGGAAATTTGGAATTAATTACTTTGGGTTTGAATTTAGTTATCTTAACATGAAATTGAGTTTCAATTGTACATGCATTATGAATTTTTCAAGAGTTTTGAAAGTTTACTTCATGTTTTGAAATTTGTTGGTTTGAAATTGGGTTTCATATGGAGAAAATAAATCAAATCTAAATTTGGACAATTGGAGCATGATTTTGAATAAATTATTTCTAATTGAGAGTGTTTATTAAATTATGCAATGGTTCTCCATATTTTTGTACCAAATATACAAGTTTTGAGGCTTTGAATATCAAATTTGAACTTCAACTACAATTCTGGAGATTCCAGAATTCACACTGTCCACTCGAGCGAGGAAAGTCTCGCTCGAGCATGAAAATCGAGCTCCCAGGAGTTTTCCAAAATTTTACAGTCCGCTCGAGCGAGGACTATATTTTCATCAATTTTTAACTAACTCTTTTAAATGCATAATTGCATCCTCATGACATTCTAAGTATTCTTAGGCACCAATTGAACTCACATAATCATGGAATAAACTAGAAACACATAAAGAGAGTTGAATTAAAATGAAATGAATATTGAATGGTGCTTCTATTGTGTTTTTGTTATATGATTTATATAGGTGGGCATCCGAGGCCTTGTATTGACTTAACCCACTGTGAGTAGTAACTTTGTAAAGCTATGTTCAATTTTAAGTATTTTTTGAATAATATAAGATGATCTATTTCTGAAATATTAGTTTCTGTATAAATGAATGGTTGTCCAATGTTTCTGAAGTGTATTCTTGGTATTCTTAACTTCAAATGACATTTGTTATCTGTTCTGTTACGTCCCAATTATGGGCCAATTGTACGTCTCATGAGTCAACCGTTAAGGATCCTTATGTATACGTCTCTTTATGGGCCAACTGAATGTCTCATGAGTCAACTGTACCGTATCCGTGCACGTGAGTCAACTGTATGCCTTTATGGCCGTCCCTTTATGGGTCAACTGTATGCCTTTATGGCCGTCCCTTTGTGGGTCAACTATATGCCTTTATGGCCATCCCTTTATGGGTCAACTGTTTCTGCTAGTGCTAATGAATGTATCACGTATGATTAACTGCAAATTCTGATTATGAATATAATTCTGAATCTGTATCTGCTATGAACTATGATTTCTGAACATGATTATGAATCCATTTCTGACAACTACTGAATTTTATTTTCTGCAACTATTATGGACATCATTCATTCAACCCTTTACTCTGTTATTATTCACTGGCCACCAGCTCACTGGTTATATATATGTATGTAGGTGATTAAGCGCGTAACCAGGCTTAGAGGCGTCTGCTTGGAATCAGTTTTTGACAGCCAACCTATGTGCCTCCCGTGGAGGTTCCAAACATGTCTAGTGGTTATGGCTAAGTGTATAAGTTAAAGTTTTGTTTTTCCGTTCAGTTAGACAAGTCTTTGTGTATTTTGTAAATAGGACTAAGTCTCTTTTTGTCTAGCTTATTTATATGTTTATATATGATGATGTGTATATGTATGTATATTAAGTTTTAAAATTTTTCTGTCTCATATAAATCTGCACAGCTCAATGAATGTTGTATTATTGTTATTTGCTTCCGCAGCCCCTAATTATATGTTATTCAGTTAAAAGGCCTTTGGTAACCCAAGGATTATTGGCCGGTTACGATGCTAAACCTATAGGGGTTGGTTTGGGTCGTGACAGAGTGGTATCAGAGTACGAGTTAATATCTCACACACGTGTCCATTGAGCATTGAAATGTCTAGAACAAATTTAAGCTTCATGCATATAGAAAGTAAGTAGTAAGTTGTGCATTCAGTAATATGTATTTACACTGTGTAATATGTTTAAGTATTGAAACTAAGTATTATGAGCTATTATGGAATTTTAATGATTATAAGGAGATCGAAATGTGTTTGATAAAGTTAAGTAACGAGGCTAAAAGCTAAGAGTTATTGTGGAATTTCTAATGTTATGAGGAAATTTGAACTTTGACTTAAGCATTGGTGAGTACCAGTATGTCGATTTGTGGAAACAAGATGTTGATTGAGGAATTTTCACATTATAAGGAAATTAGGATTGTTGATTGGAATATTAGTGAGCACATGTGTAAAGATTTGTGAGAATATAGTGTTATAAGAGGTTATTTTGAAATTTCAACGATTATGAGGAAACTGGAATGTGTTGAATTAGTTTAGCACTGAGGCCGAAAGCTAAGAATTATGGTGGAATTTCAAAAATTTCTACTGTTATAAGAAAATCAGAATATTTGACTAGTACGTTGGTGAGAATAAGTATGTTGGTTTGTGGAAACGTAATATTATGCAAAATTAGAATCTTTAATGAAAGTCATGAAAGCTATATGGGTTAAATGTCTAATTGGACTATGAGAATATTTGGGAATTGAGGAATTTGATGACCAATGAAATATGTGAAATTATGGTAACCAATGATGAGAGAAGTTATTTGATATGTAAGATGGCATATTTTGGTGGGAACCTATTATGTGAAATGTTGAACCGTAGAGTCTCATGCCTTTGTTGAAAGACCTTGAAAGTCCGATTGGAATCACGTTTGGCCAGCGTAGGTTCGAATCGGAAATTATTGGTAAATTCCACGGGAATGAATAGATTACCCTACCAGTGTCCTTATATGCTTGTGTGTGTATGCTTACTCGTATATGATATGCGTTTTGTGTTATATTTTAAGTCAATTGACATTAAACCAAGTGTTATCAACCATCAATTTGTGTTTGGCCCTTCTTTTCTATCATTAGGAAAGGATGGCAAAAAGTAAGAATGATTTGAAAGTTGAGACTTTGGCAGAACGACTGGACAAGGTAGAAGAAGTACTTGAGGGAGTAATAAAAGCTATGCAACAATGCTATGACAAAACGCAAAACCAAAAGAAAAAGTTAAGTGTGAAGTCGAAGAAAGAACCAAAGGAAAGGACTAAGAAATTTGTCCTAGGAGAGTCAAGCAATTCTAAGTAAGGTAGTAAGTTTCGTCCACTATGTTCCACATGTCACAAGCGACATAGAGGGTTGTGTCATCGACTTACTAGAGTATGTTTCAAGTGTGGAAAGATGGGGCATCTAGTAAAAGATTGTTCTAAAGGCCCGGAGAAAACTCAAATGAGTCAATTGGTTAAAGGTTAGTACTTAACTATAAAGTAGGAATTAGTAGGAATGCTTTAAATGCATGTATAGAAATTTGGAGTTAAAAGTTTATGTGTGTGTGATTTATTTGAATTGGTCTTAATCAGTATTTGATAAAGATGGAACTCGTTTGTTTGACCATTTAAAACTCAACCTAAGATTGCTAAAAATTATTAGAGCATCGCTAAGACTTGACTTGACACTGTCAAAATTAGAAGAATGTGAGCAAGACTTGATCAATTGATGAAAATGAAAAGAAAAAAAAAAACAAAACAAAAACAAAAACAAAACTGGGACTTCTACTTAGTCTAACAAAGTTATATACTTTTGGAAACTTGTTTGAATAAAAGGAAAATTTGTACTCCACGTTAGGAGACTGAAACCTATGAGAATTAGAAAGAAAAGACCCAATTTACTAAAATGGTATCGTCATTGAATCTTTTAATAACGTTGAAAGAAACATTTATAATTAACTTAAGCTACAAAGTCAAAATATAGACTTCTAAAAAGGAAAACACAATAATTCCCTTCTGGAATAGTGATTAGAAATTAATGATATTATGATCTTGTAGACATAATTAAATAGTGTATCTTTTAGGAAATTTGATTCTGTACAACTTTCGTTCTTTGAGTTTTGGTCAGTTCGAATTATTTAAGCATGAAACGGTGCATTTTTATACTTCTTCAGCAACTTACTTATGATTAAATTATACTAACTTTATTTTTTTGCAGGATGGTGGGTCTTACTAATTTTTTTATGCAGGGTTGGCCCACCATATTTTTATTTCTATTTTGTTTATTTTATAATCAATTTATATTTCGTTGTGTATGGACAAGAAACTAAATGCCACCGTATCTCGGGAAACTACCCATTCGTCTCGGTGCGGTTGGAACTACTTGTCTTGTCCCGTAACAAGAATTAAATGTATTTTTGTTTGTGTTTGGTGGACACGTGAGTGTTAAATCTTGTACTCATACCTGTATACCTGTATACTGACCCGTTTTGTCTCTTGGCAACTCGGGTGTGTTCTGTTTGAGCGCAGTCGAGCTTCCTTTGCAGGATTAGTTGGGGCTACGGTGGTGACGTTGAATTACTATAGTTGTTGGACTTGTCGTTTGGACTTCTTTTGTTTTCTTGAGTTTAGGGTTGATATTAGTTTATGTATTTATTATTATTTTTTTTATGACTTTAGTATTGAGATAATTTGGCATGGTTTGTAACCGTACATTATTTAAGTTATTTTTACTTTGTATTGTTACTTTAATGTTGGAGGTATTGGTTAGTTATGAAATTATGGTGGATGGTTTGGTTGGCATTTAGTCTTTTTGTTTCACCCCTAGGATTTGGATAATGGAATATTGATTGAGGTTTAGTTCTAATTTAATATTTAATTGTCTAAATTTTGGGGCGTGACACATTTATTTACTAAATTGGTGAATAAATATATATTAGTATTTTTTATAGTAAAATAATAAATATGTATATGTTTATGCATAGTTATTAAAAAAAATAAAACTTTGATAAAATTTTATATTTTATTTAAAATTATTTAGTATTTATAGATGTGGTAGACAGTAAAAGTGACATCTATCTATATATTATATAAGGAAAATGGGGTTTCTAACCCACAAACTTTGTGAGAGTTCAAATATCTCAATCTTAATTTTCTAATTTTTTTGATCTAAAAAAAATATCTCAGCATTTATTGATTTCTCCTAACCCATAAGCTTTTTTGACTTCTCCCGTACATATTGCTGCACTAAATATGTATATGTTTATGCATAGTTATTAAAAAAAATAAAACTTTGATAAAATTTTATATTTTATTTAAAATTATTTAGTATTTATAGATGTGGTAGACAGTAAAAGTGACATCTATCTATATATTATATAAGGAAAATGGGGTTTCTAACCCACAACTTTGTGAGAGTTCAAATATCTCAATTTTAATTTTCTAATTTTTTTGATCTAAAAAAAATATCTCAGCATTTATTGATTTCTCCTAACCCATAAGCTTTTTTTGACTTCTCCCGTACATATTGCCACACTTTTCAACATCTCCCATACACTATAGTTAGTGATGGGATTATTAAATTATTTTTATAAAAAATCTAAAAATAATAATTTGGGTATTAAAAATATCTAAAACAAATATAAATTCTTATTAAATCTATCTATCTATCTATATATATTATATAAGTAAAATGGGGTTTTCGTGAGGCGCATTGTGAGAGTTTCCAAACCTCATAATGAATATGTAGATTTATTGAATTAAAAAATAGTATTAGCTAATCCATTAAAGTAATAGTTGTCAAAATATTAATAATTTCGTAATTTATAGTTTTCAAAAAGAAAGATAAAAAAAAATAACAATGCTAGGTGGCCCGAACACTCATGGCTCGAAACACCCAAAACGACGTCATTTTAAGTGTAAAACGACATCATTTTGACACATTCAAGCCACACAAATTCGGGCCAAGTTTTATTTCCTTTAAAAAAATAAAAAATTACTTCTTACTATATTACTATATTATTCATACCATATATAACTACTCTCAAATCTTCAAAATTCATGATAAAAATTAAGCACCTTCAAAATATTTTGATTTAATTACACACATTAATTTCTTTTGTACATTTTTTTTTCTTTTTTGATTTATTTTATACACTCATATGTACTAATATTTAGGGAAATTTATTGGAAAATCCTATTATAGTAAATTATGGTCCATTTGGTCCCCCGTTTTTTCCCTTTGTTTGACAAGTCCATTTAGTGAGTACTTTCTTACTGGGTAGTCCTTTTTCAAATGGAAATAGGGTGTAGCCTAACATATATGCCCTCACGTTCCAATTTTATGAGGATTCTTATGCGTTTATTTTTGATATGTGCAAGTCACGTTTTGGGGGAGTTCAAGATATCAGTTCACATAGGTATCAGATGGAGGGGCTAGGGTTTTATTGCTTTCTGTTGTTTGGAGTAGGGCAACACGGTTAAGGTTGTTGTGTGGGGTTACGTGGATCACTGGCTTCTACCGGTCGTTTTTTTCACAGGTACGTTATGAGACCATTTTATTATTCAACATTTGCACATTCAGGATCACTCAATGTTGAGGCTGTCATTGAACATTGTTTTGGTGTGTGTACTCATTTTGTGCGTGTACTCGGTTCTTTTTTATCAGTTGCATTTATATGTTGTTACATTGTTGTCGGGAAATTCGCCGGTATACCACGTTCGGTGATTAATCAATGCAATCGTTTAGGATTTCATTTTTTTTCCTGTTCGACTTATATTGTTTTATGTTATTGCACAAGGTTCTTTCTGTAGGTCTATTTTTCAATTGTGGGGTTCATGTGGGGGAGGGGGTGTGTTTGTTTTTTGTGCATGTGGGGGA